TCTCTGATATATATATATATATATATATATATATATATATATATAATTGTTTATTTAAAAATTATAACATAAATATGTTATAAAATCACTACAAAAAATAGCCATTTTGTTTCCGCACCTCCGGTGTCTTATCAAATGATGATGTTGAATGTAAAATAAATGGTTTTAAAGTTTCAAATTAATTAACGATCCGTCGTAAGTGGAAAACGCTTTTACAAAAGATAGAATGACCAATCAAAACACAACTATAGGAGAATTCAAAAACTTGACAACGAAGTAAGCACTCATTTTAAGAATAGTAATTGTTGTCTATTAAAATTTATTCCATATGCACTAATCATATAATTGTATATATATATATATATATATATATATATATATATATATATATATTAGGAGTATTAATGTGAAAATGGAAAATTGATTTTTCATTATCTCGTTATCTTTTTTTTTTTTTTTTTTTTTAAAGAAGAACACCGTAGAAACGACAGATAACGATGAAAATGTACATCCGTGTAATCGAGGGGATCTGGAAACAGAGAAACTACGAACACAAAACATTCTTTACCACTAGTAAATATGCAAACAGCACAACCTTTTTTAAACGTATATGAGAAATTAAAAACAAAAACCAAATCACACGAAAAATATCATGGAAAATAAGAAAAAACTGAAATCGTCTACAACAAAGACAAAAACAAATTTCTATTACGTTACTTAAAAATCAAAACGTAAAAACGAATACATTGTAAGACATCACCAGGAAATGAACAAATATCTTTTATGTTACAACACAGATAATGAAGATACTTTAGACAAAGACACTCCTTTAAAATAAAGAAATAAGGTAACCAATTCCTCCAAATAAAAATAAGTAAATAAATAAATGAATAATTAAATAAATGAACAAATAAATAAAAAAATACGACTGCACGTAAAAATACGAGTAAATTTATTAATAATAATCAACAACAAATAATAACTGAATAAATAAAAAAATACTCTAAGTAATTGTTGTGGTGTCCTCTCTCTAAAGAATCTATGTTGGACTCTTCCGCCTACTATAAAATTAGTAGGAGAGTAGGTATTAAGATATTGTGACCAAGTAAATGGTTAAAGAAATAACAAAACAAGTATTACAGATATATCATATATTAAACAGTAAGTACAACAGAAGAGTTCTACTTACTGTTTACGTAACTAGTGTAAAAGAACTCACGACTAGTGAGTGTGTGTCGGTTGACTCAGCGTTCAATCTGATCAACTGTTCCCCCAAGGCCTTCTCTCCTACTAATCTTATAGTAGGCGTAAGAATCCAACATAGACTCTTTAGAGGGAGGACACCACAACAGTAATCAATGATAAATAATGATTTAAATATTAACAAAGAACCCTATGCGATAGCTACAAATAAAACTACAGTCTAACCCACAATTATTTCTACTCTACTAATAATTTGAAATATAACCGTTGCCGCCTAACCTGTAACCGTTAGGATAATACAATAAAGCAGAAATACCTGAACCATTGACCAGCATATATAAACAGTTGAGTCACCACACATCACACACGGCCTAAAGATTGCTTGCAAGGATGAAACAGACTGTCGCTACTCAGTATCCACTTATCCAACAATCAGAACGTTTTCATCAATAAAAGATTCGTTCAATCATGAACACCAAATGGAATTACTATGTGATCAACGCCAAAGTCCTGGAACAGTCAAAGCATCGAATCGCTGATCGTTAAGCGCCGTCTTCGATGGTCAAAACTTGTAGCAAGAATGGAAGAATCGAGTTTTCCACGCCAAGTCTTAGTCGGTGAGCTCACTTCAGGGAAAGGAGCACGGGGTTTCCCTCTTCGAAGATACAAGGAACCAAATCAAATCAACACTGAAAACCACTGGACTTGGGTCTAAATAATTTGAAACACAAGACCGTACCAACTGGCGATATTCTATCATCACCGGAACTAAAACTTGGTAGCCATCCCAAGAGAAAAAGAAGAAGTCAAACGAACAAGAGAGAAAATCGACTTAGTCCTCCATCACCATTACAATGTAGGCAATGTCCAATTGCTAGATTAAGCTTTGAACCGTTGTATCACAGAAATGATTAAAGATATCTTACTGGAATTCTCAGAAGTTTTTATAATATTATTCTTCAAATATATATATATATATAGATAGGAATTCCCTGACGATCCGTTTAGGTGAAACCTAGGTAGGTTTGTCTGGCTCACTAGGTGTATCTAGGTCTGCTCTACGGTTGTATTGAGCTCTTTTGTTAGTTAGTTGTTACTCGTATCGGGGTTTTTTCTTTGGGCTTCAGACCTGCATCTGTGCGATTTTTTTGTCGGCAGAAGTTCATGTTTGTAGCTCTTTCTTTTTTTAAAACCTTTTTTTCCCTAGAGATTGATTTGATTAGCAAATCAAAAATTCGAGGGTTTTTCGAAACGAGTCTAGTTATCTATATATATATATATATATATATATATATATATATATATATATATATATATTATTCCAGGACCGTTTCTAACTTTTTCAACATGATCTTCGGCCGCTTAAACCTTCTAACTTTCAGTCCTGGAGAAAGAAGGTGCCTCACACGTTTAACCTACGATTTTATTTTCATGTCTTTTTTTCACTGCTTTTTAGACTGTCATTGCTGGAACTCTTCTCACACGTATCAAACGTGTTATTGATTGAGTTGGATCTTTTCTAATTGATCTCTTTAGCTCTAAGGTGAAATGATGACCCCTCTTCCTGTTGTGATCTCCTGGTCCTGTTTTTCTCTCTACTGTTCGCTTTTTTAAAAAATTATTCACCATACTCTTGATTGCTCTTGAATGAACTTTGAAGACGGAAGTCAGAGTATGAATGTCGACACCACTACTGAAAGCCTGAATGATTTTTTCCTCTCACCATTGCTCGGTTGAGAAGACAGAGGGACTGAGACAAAACGATTTTAATCTGTTCTTTTTCTAGCCGAATAACTCAAAGGGTTTATCAGTGATTCTTACGACAAATGGTGTCAAAATGGCTAAACGTCTGATCTGAAATCTTGTAAAAAGGTCACTCAATTAGTTTAGGGATGTTTTAGATATTAAACATTTTATGGGATGGATAATTATGATGTTACACGATTTGAACAACTTTGCTGTTACACCCGGTACATATATATATATATATATATATATATATATATATATATATATATATATATATATATATATATATATTTACTTCCCTTTTTCTTTTTTCTCTTTTTCTCCTTTTCCTTTCCCATATCATTTCCAATGAGTTGACCGATTAAATAGGTCAATGTCTGATCCTTACCCTCTCCTTCCTCAATATTAAGTATTATAATAAAAAGAAATATAAAAATAAATTTTAAAACTCTCCTTTCCCTCTCTAAACTCGTCCATGTCTCTCATACCATTCCTCACCACCCTCTATGTCAACTTATATAAGCTTAATACTGCCCGTCAAAAGTGTAAATTTTAAATTCATTTTTTGTTTCACCGTTTGAAAGTGAAGTCTGAAGATCCAGGGAAAAAAAGTCTCTGGTGAAATAAATTATTACAATGGAGCCTTAAATTGGACAGTTTTTCTTTAAATTAAATTATTTGCTCTCAGGACTTCATCCAATGCATTTATTTATATATGTATGTGTATGCGTATGTATATGCGTGTGTGTATGTATATATATATGTGTGTATATGTGTGTGTGTGTATTTATGTGTTAGTATTTTAGTTGTTACTATGTTCTCATAAGCATCGCACATAAAAATCAGGTTGAAAGCTAACAAACCCTCCTCCTTCACATATGACTATCCATCTCTATCTCTCTCTCTCTCGATATATATATATATATATATATATATATATATATATATATATGACAAATGGACAATATTTCATTGAAAATAGATTTAACTTCTTAAAAAAATTGTCAGGATTCTATATCCTATTTTAAACACACACATACGTAGTATATATATCGGGTCCCGCAAGCCTTCTTTGTGCAAACAACGTGAGTGTTTGCTGGAACTCTCTGTCATCTGCCTCTAGTTCAGCTTGCATATATATATATATATATATATATATATATATATATATATATATATATATATGTGTGTGTGTTTTTTTTTTTTCCACCTATTCTTTGTACATTTCTCTGTTTTAATATTGAATCTCCCGTGGAAGCCTGACGAGCAGGAGCGAAACCGGTTGCTTTCCCCCTTGTTGTTGAGTTTTTTTTTTTTTTATTATTTAATATTGTTTTAATATGTCTTGTAATATTAAATTTTATACTTTTTATTTCGATCATTAAATTTTGTACCTACAAAATATCTTTAAAAGATATATATATATATATATATATATATATATATATATATATATATATATATATCCGACTGTGTAGTGAGTTCGGTTTTGCTTAAAAATATTTTAGCCACTAGTAAGCTAAACACTAAATTGCTATGGTGTGTGTGCGTGTTATTGTATTGAGAGACCAGGAATGTCACATAGAATTTTAAGGTGTTGAATTACTGCATTTCAATTCATCAGATCTCTAATGGTTTTGTCCAGCAAAGTAGTTAACTTGGCCCGTACGTGATCTAATCACATTGACCACAGGATCTATCCCTTGAGTAGACAGCGGGCGCCCTCGGGATTGACAGTTCTATTGAAAAATAAATTTGAGCCATGGAGAGTTTGTCAGAGAGAGAGAGAAAAAAAAATGAAGAAGGAAGAAGACGAACAGGAAATATGATCCACAGAAAACAAAACAAAACAAAACAAAAAGAAAACATGGCGATGTGTATGAAGGGCCAATTGCTAAACCGATGGGCGTAAAATTAAGTTGTTCCTCGCTTTCTTTTGAAATTTCTCAGCACTTTCTGATCTGATTCTGTTATCGGAATAAGGGTTCGCTTGAACCAATAAAGGCGACGAAGCAATAGTTCTTGAAAATGTATTTAGAATTCTTGTAATGATTCTTAAACACGTATTTAGAAAAAACGAATTTTTTGGTCGTGTAAGAAAATACAGAAAATGTTTTGTAACTGTTCTTTAAAAAAACATTTAGAAATAAAGCCAATTTTTATATCGTAATCGTCATTAAAACTCTATCTAGAGAATAATGCTTTTAAAAGTTTTTAAATTGAATTTTTTGGCTTTATTTTGAATTAAGAAACAGAGAAAAAACAACTAAAAACCAAATACAATAAAATTAAAAAAAAAAAAACTTCAGTTGTAAATGCAATCTTTGTTTTTTCAAAACGATGACGACAACATAAAAATGGCCAGATTAATTAGAAACATAAAACATTTTCGAATGATGTTTTTGTTGACTGATTAATTTGATTTTTTTACGGCTTATTACAGGTTATATCTATCTATCTATATATCTATCTATCTATCTATCTATCTATGTTAGTCTGTTTATATGTATCTATCTATCTATCTATCTATCTATCTATCTATCTATCTATCTATCTATCTATCTCAATCTTTTCTTTATCTATCTATCTATCTATGTTAGTTTGTGCATATCTATCTATCTATCTATCTCATTCTTTTCATATATATCTTAAATTGTTCCTATCTATCTATCTATCTAGTTCATAAATTAAGAAATATTCAAAGGACATTTCTCCTTGACCAACTCTTGAGTTTCTCGTAACACTACTCATCAGTTCAGAGGTTTGGGACCCAATAGAGACTATCATGTGAAGAATTGTCAGTTCCTTCCCATATACGGCAGTAGTCCTCCATTTCTGGCCTCATATGTCTCCTGATTTCGGTAACTGTATCAATTACATATTTATCTTTAACTTATTTGAACTGTTTACATTTACATTGTCCTCATTTTTGTTGTTGCTAATACAATCGTTTCAACCTCTGTGCTCTCCGGCCATCCTCGTGAGTATTTCGATTCAGGTAACCTACAAGGAATTCCAAACAATCATTATCGTCTCGTTATATAAGTGATATCTCGTTTAGTTCCAATTTTTACTACTGCTCAGTTAGTGCTTGCTCTGTTCCATTGCGTTCATGTACAAACTGCCAAGCTCAGTGTTTGGTTTGGTTTGATTTACGGTTTATCAACCTCATTGGGTTATTTAATGCCAACAAGATTTTTATTACTGGTAATATTTTTTTTTTCAAAAATGTATTGCTGCTAATATCTTTTTTCACAAAAACGTATTTCTGGTAATATTTCTTCCAAAAATACATTGCTGCTAATAATGTTTAACGGCTTTTATTTGTAGTTGAAAGAGAGTGTGCAAAATAGTGTTATTTTGCGGGTAAAAAGTTGAGGTTCCCAGTTCACAAAGATTTTGCCATGAGTAGTGTTGTGGTAGGATCCACCTAATTTGCATAGTGGAGTACCGCCCATATAAATATGGTTGGTACCGGGAAGACGAGGGGAGAAATCAAGAGATTCAATCCAGAGACTCTGCCTGACTGCGACTAAGTCAACACATTCTCCAGGAACGGTCTTCCCAAGAATATACAAAAGACTATATGTAAATATTGTGTACACTTTCTTGTTTCAATACATTTTGCTCTAAGTACATTTTGTGTTGTATTATCATTCCATGCATTAGTCAAGTTTCAACAAGTAGATATTTGGTAGAGGGAGATTTATTCCCTTGTCCCCACGAGGAACAAGAAATCTGAATGTCAAACTGCAAGGACTAGTAAATGTCTTCTGCAGCAAGGGTTTTGAGTAGTCCTTTGGGTAGATGTCTCGGAGGGAGATTTCTCCGCTTGTTCCCCGGGGAACGAGAAATCTGAAGTCAAGCTGCCAGAATAGGCCACGTGTCTTCAGCAGCAAGGGTTGTGTGTAGACTCCCGAGCAGGAAATTTGATGTAGCAGCCGCTGAAAAGGAAGCGTGGAAAAGATCTGGCCTTGAAGGTAGAGACCACAGAAAGGGAAAAGTGGAAAAACTGTCTAATAGGGAGCGGTCAGTGTTTTTACGCGTTCTGAGATTTCCGGGTGTTCCCTGCTGATTACTTCCGTTGCTGCACTTAGAGAAAATTGGAATTGTGACCAAGATTGTAAAACTGCCATCATTTACTCCGTGAGGATTCTCCGAATGGTTCTTGAGTTATGAGGAATCTCGCTGACAAAATGCTCCGAGGAAAGAATTTCCACTGAGTATAAAAATGTGCGACAAGAACAAAATAATGTAGTGGTTACAATACAAATAAAAAAGCGAGTTGTCACGGTGTTCCGCTTTTAGGGACTAAAATACCCTTATTTTGAAATTTAGCTTGGTAACTTTTCTATGCTGCTAATACTAGTGATTTTCATATTAGTTGGTCTAATAGTGGTGACTGCTGCACCAGAAACAACAAACGTAATAATAATAATAATAATATTAGGTTGGTGCAAAATAATGACGTAATAATGTCGTTTTTGACGTATTTTTAACATCAAAAACGATATTATTACGTCATTATTTTTGCACCAACCTAATAATAATAATAATATTAATAATAATAATAGTAATGATAATAATAATAATAAATTTAATCACGCAGATTTTCCATCATTTGTGTTGGCGCATCCACAAGGAAGTGCCGTCATTAGCATATGGGCCGCTTTTCGCTTGCCAACACAGTGAAGAAAAGAACGTCTTCTTTTCAATTGCATTAGACAAATTAAAATCCAGATGCTTTTTAGTTAAATATTTATTTATTTGTTTTTGGAACGTGTAGCTATTTAATAAAGGAAACGCACATCTCCATTGTTCAATCAGTTCCTGATTTTCCTTCCTCAAGTATTCTTCGTTTCATTCTGCTGCCATTATCAAACCTGCAAACTCTCTTAAGTCCCCCCTCTCACTTGCCACTCTATCGTCTGCTTTCTTTTCTTTTCGGTTCAAAGCAGACGATCTTATGAAGTTTCATTGCTTTCTCATTCTAACTTTCTCTCCAGTTATCCTTGCGTCTTCTTGATTTCACTGTTTTATCTCTTTCTCGCCATATCGTTTTCTTTTCTTTTCTTTTTTAAAAAAATATATTGGTTAGAATGGCCCAGTCTTCAAGCATTCTACGCCTGTTTTCGTTGTACGTGCAGTTTCAGTAGTCATAAGACTCAATGATGTTTTTTCAGGAAGTTTTACTCGAAGAAACAGAACTCTTCCATTTTTGACACCCAAATTTGAAAAGATCTTTTAATTGAAGTTTCAGTTTCGTTTCGACATGACATCTAAACAAATCTAGACATGAATTTCTCAAGCCTCTACACAGTTGGTCAATCTCGACTTTTATTTATTTTCTTTTTAATCATTCGCCCTTAGGAAATTTATGATGGCAGTTTTTTTTTTACTAATGTTTCTTCAGTGTGATCCTCGCATTTGCTGCGACATTTTCTAAATTTAAATTGATATTTTTTGTTATATACAGAAGAGTTATTAAACTGTAATTGTCCATATCAATCCTTGTTGTTATATCACCGACTCCGCAGTTTCGTAGTACTGTGTGCAGTTTTGAAGGGGTTAATCCTTATATTAAATATTTCCAATTGTAATGAATATTCATTTTTTTTATTTCAGTTTTCAAATTTGCGTTTTTTTTAATCCGTTATGGACGAGGGCAAGTTCATGATTTTACATGTTCTCATTATTCGTTCGTAAACGTAATTATTTTCCAATTCTATATTTTTCAATTGTATATTTTGTAATTTTTATTTTTCATTGTTATTTTTGGTTGTACGTATATCGTTGTTTGTTTATATATATATATATATATATATATATATATATATATATATATATATATATGTATTTTATTGTGCTTATTATATTACGTTATATTATTATTTAACTTATATTCATTTCTGTTGTATTTATTATATTATATTACATTAATATTTAAGTTGTAAAGTAAATAATTATTAAAATGTCTACATTTACCCATTAATTCATTTCTCTTGTTTAATAATTTAATTTGATTATTAAAATTTATTATATAAAATTTTTCTTCTAAACACAGTTTATATTTTCTATTATTAATATTATATAGGAGTAATTTTTATGATTTCCCACTTAATTTTATTGGAAAATTTTTTTCTTTCTGACTCGATGTATATTTTGATAATTTGTGTTATTTGCGTATCTGTCTATTTTAAATGATATTTTATGATTATTAGATCTTTCTTTAAAAATTGTTTCAGTGCTCCTATATAAATGTTTTCTTCCGTGTAAATATTATTGGATGCAGCTGCTTAATATATTATATTATTAGCTAGACATTTATTATTTAGTGGGAAGTTGTTTCTATTTCGGCAATTGCAATTATTGTTGCTTTTGTTATTGTAATTGCTATTAATTCTGTTTAATATATTTTGTTATATATATTTATTATTTTCTCCATATTATTTATACAACTATAACTGATTTTAATTGTATTTTTATTAATGATTTTTGATAGTTTACTATTTTTACAGAAGTGTTTTCAATTAATTTACAAAACAGTTTTCCTATTTTTGTCTTTATTATATTATTATAAGGTGGATCAAACCAAATTATATTTCTTTTTCTTTTATTTTTGTATGTATTATTGTTAGTTACGTAGTCTAATTTATTCGCAAAACAACTTTTTTAAAATATTGGACCATATTTATTTCATATTTGTTAAATATTTTCATATTGCTAGAATTACTTGAAATTCTTTTATTAATAGGTATTGGTATATGTTTAAATACATTAGGAGGGTGATTTGAACTTTTCTTTATATATATTGCATTATAATTTGCTTTGCTATATGATTTGTATGTATTATTTAAATTAAATGTTATGTCTAGATAATTCACTATTATTTGATTAGCTTTACGTCTATTGTAAATCTTAATTTGTTAAATATTCCTGTTTTTTTTTTTTTTTATATTTTCTGTTTTTCTACCATTACAATTTCTTATATTTCCTGTCCGCAGATATTATCTGATTATAATGGTAAAGGCTTGCGCAGAGCCAACCACACCTTTTGGAAGAGCCGAATACAGAGGACTGGTGCACAGTATGCCACAAGGTCCCCAATCAACCCTCTACAGGTTTTGAATTCAGAGTTGTCCTCCTAGACTGGTTGGCAACCAAAGCTATAGAACACAGTCTGTCCTGCTAATTATTCCTACCTGGGGTAGGGGTTGTAGAAGAGATGGATTCGTACCGTTTCCAAAGATATTAGTGCATAAGTGAATGTAGGAAGTCGACTGAATTCGAACTCGGCTCTCGATTCCTCAATCCATTACTCTACCGTGCCATGCATGCACATATATATATATATATATATATATATATATATATATATATATATATATATATATATATATATATATAGTCGTTCTTTAATAATAGATGTCTTTATATCTATATATATATATATATATATATATATATATAGTTATACACGTCTGGAAAAACCTTAGGTGTTTTGGCTTGTAAATGAACAAACCAATACCCAAGGAAAAATAAGGGATAAAAAAGAAAGAAGAACATGTAATTGAGGCGAAAACAATCGTCCAGAATCCAAGCTCAGAGTCCAAAGAAAAAAAACCCTGCAAAACAAGTAAAGCAAAATTAACTAAGTGCTCAATACACTAAGTATATATATATATATACATACACACATAATACATGCCTTATATATATATATATATATATATATATACATACATACATATATATATATATATATATATATATATATATATATATATACTCGACTCTCCCGTCGAATTCAACGTATGAGGGTCAAGTAGATCAGTTCCTGGCAAACCGACAGCCCGACAACAGCATATGAGATTTGATTATAGTGGTGAAGGTTTCGTGCAGGACTATCCACACTTTTTGAAGGGACGAATACAGAGACCTGGTGCACTGCGTGCCATAAGATTCCCAAACGACCCTCCGCAGGTTTTGAATTCAGAGTTGTCCTTCTCCTAGACCAGTTGCCATCCAAGGCTATAGAACCCAGTCTGTCCTGCTATTTTACCCATAGCTGGAGGGAGAAGGATTCATACCTTTCCCAAGGGTATTAGCACATAAGTGGATGTAATGGATTCGACTTGAATATATATATATATATATATATATATATATATATATATATATTAAGGCATGCATTATTAAAGACTACGGGACTCTTCCGTTTGATGATCTGTTTTTTTCTTGCTTACTTGCAAGTTTATTAATATTTGGTTCCAGATTGTTAAAGTAGGATCCCAGTTGATAGCTTTCTGTCGAGCGCTTTCGGTTGTTCTCAACCTTCATCATGACGTTTGTTTCTGTTTAGAGATATGTTATTGGTTGTTTTAGTTTTATAGATAATATTAGACGATATTATTTGGTTAGTTTATTATTGGTAAGGTGAGAAATGATGTTTTTTTTTATTGGAGGGTTAGTTAGTAAATATGTTTAGTATTCTCTGCCAGTATTAAATGCTATTTTATTTATGTTGGGTTTTTGGTGTTTGATGAGAACTCCTTCCAGAATTTGTAGTCGTTTTTTGCAGTTGTTTTTATAGAGGATTTTGGTGTTGTTAATTTTCCTTATGTCAGATGATTTGACTGGTTTATCGGTGGGGCTGTGTATTGTTACAAGATGATTTGTTATGTCGCTTGTACCGCTTAGGTGGTATGTAAGCCTACGTGAGAGAGTTATGGCTGTGTGAATGAACTATCCCAGTAATATCTTTTATCGCCATAATTGCTTTATTTTATTATTAGTTCTAGTCTTTGAACAAATCAACATGGTGCAATGGTTAGTATGTTTGTGTCGTTATTTAAATTACGCCTAAGCTGTGAGTTCGTAGCTCCTTAAACTCATGCTTGGACCATATCTAGGCTATGCGGAGCAAGTTACTGTTGGGTACTTCAACCCGATGTAATGGTTATCCAGCTTGCATTGCTAGCTCAAATACGACTGAGTTGTTAGTTCGATCCTGTGGTGAACAGTCCCGTAGAAACAAGCGAGCCAGAGTGGCTTGCATTTGGTGCATAGCAAAGTAAGGGTTTTACTTTAACGTGCAGCACGTGACATCGGCAAGTTTGCGCCGTGAAAATGGCATTACTCTCCTGTCGAGCAATTCCAGCAGTATATGGTAACGAGGGTTTTTGTACAGTTTGGCATGCTTCGACCAAGTCATGTGCTGATTGGCCGAATCGGAGAAGGCTATTTACCTGGGTAACTGAGAATAAAATAACGCTGATTGGTTGGTCGACTACGGTGTTGGCCTGATAAAAGAAGGCTGAAGCAGTGAAAAGGGAGGAAAAAGATGGATTTTGAAGTGTTCAGAAAGCGAGAACGGCGGATTGAACCAGCGGTATCTTGATTTTTACAAATGACGTCGTTGTAATAGAGACTCATTTAAACTACAGATCCTCACTGGGTGCCCCATACGTTCCACCTCGTACCACATCTGAGCTGCGCTTAGAAAAATCAACTTTTATTACTGTATATAATAATTGTTCTATTTCATATTTTAAGGATATGTTTCGTGGTACAAAACTATGACTGCCATTTCGTTATTAGTTACTGCTGTCGCGTACTTCGTCGTGGTATAACGATTAACAGCTCATGTGGTCTGATAATTACGACTGAGTAGTTAGTTCGATACTCATTGGGTGTTCGATACACCTTGTGACACATCTGTATTTTGCGTTGTAAATCATTATTACTTGTTGTTATTAAACTCTTACTGTGCCTACTAAGATCTACATTAAGAACGAATCTTCCATTTATCAGATAATCTTCATTATCGACTATTGTAATAATTGTTCTATTTTATTATTATTTATCGTGTTATCCTGAAGTAAGACCAGACCGTTTCTTTTCATCCATTTTGGCTAAAATTTGTAAGGCTTAAGTTGTAAATTTTGGTCACTCGTCACTTTTTTTTTTTGGTGCATCGTCTCTTCCTTTATTTTGGTCACTAGACTTTTTCTTTCTTTCTTTCTTTCTTTCTTTCTTTCTTTCTTTCTTTCTTTGTTTATTTCCTTCTTTCTTTGGTCAGTCATTTCTTTCTTTCTTTTTACGGCCGTCTCTTTATTTCATTCTTTGTTTTTTTTTCCTTGGACGTTTCTTTCTTTCTTTCTTTCTTTCTTTCTTTCTTTCTTTCTTATTTCCAACCTTTCTTTCTTTCTTTCTTTCTTTCTTTCTTTCTTTCTTTCTTTCTTTTCCCTCACACGACTCTCTATTTATTCTTCCCTATTCTGATGGGTTTTCTATTTTTTATTTCCTTTTTATTAAATGTTACATCGTTTTTTTTTCATTGGTCTTTGCCCAGTTCTTTTCTATTTTCGTTTCATTCTTTTTTTCTTTCTTTCTTTACAATTTCTATGCTGTTTCTCTTTCTCAACATACTCTATCTTATTTCTTTCTTTCTTTCTTTCTTTTCATCTCTTATCTCTTTTTCTTTCTTTCTTTTCTTTTCATTTCTTTTCTCTTTTTCTTTCTTTCTTTTCATCTCTTTTCTCTTTTTCTTTCTTTCTTTCTTTCTTTCTTTCTTTCTTTTCATCTCTTTTCTCTTTTTCTTTCTTTCTTCCTTGCAAGAATCCTTGCGACCCTTCCTTCCTTCTCCCTGTCTCTTTTCCTTCCTTCCTTCCTTCCTTCCTTCCTTCCTTCCTTCCTTCCTTCCTTCCTTCCTCTCCATTTAGACATAACATCTGATGATGCAACGGCTTAAAAAAGTCGTATAGACAAAATAATCAAATGTTTCATCTAAATTTATTCTCGTCCTTTGCTGATTTCGAAAATGAAAATAAATTACTTCGTTCTCTTACTGACCTTTCCTGCCATTCGGAGTTCAGCGTTGAAACAGAAGTCTTTTCTGCGTTTGAAACCCCAAGTGATAGCTTCGCGGTAACTTCTCCATATTTTAATCAGACAGTTTTACGGTTCGATAGCATCGGCAAACATGAAACCTAAAGTTACGCTCTATGCAGGTTTGTATGCCTGGATACTTAATTTCGAAACATAGACACGACTTCTAACAATTTTCAATACTGAGATATTCAACTTGCGTAGTTTTTCAGTATAAAAATAATATACATTGGAACATTTTTAGATGAACAACGATAATTCCGAGGCACGTATACACACACGTAGGCATACGTAAACACATTTTCTACTTATGTTCCGTCTCCCTTCAGGACGTGAGGATTATGGCTCTCCACAGTGTCCTATCATAGCTCTAAGTAACGTCTGTATCCTTGCCATCCACCAGTCCCTTCTCTCATCCATTTACAGAAACGAGTTAGATTGGTCATTTGCTATTTCACACTGACTCTCTTGCTTTCATTGTGCCCTGTGAGTGCCAAATTCTCCAAGCCCTCTTTCCTCATTATGTGCGCTATAAATTTCAAGTCTCTCTTTTTGATGCAATGCATGAGTGTCCTTTTTATTTCCATTTTCTCTAGGCATACGATAATATCACGTTCAAATAACAGATCTCCTACACGCACCGGAGTTAAGTAATGTCGATGCTAGTCACTACATAAATGGGTGACCGCTTGGGAATACCAGGTGTTGTAAGCTTGTGCGAGTGGTGTAAGGGATAACTGGAAATCGAAGAACCGAGTTCCAATTCCAGTCGGGTTCGTTGGATCCACTTACTCGTAAATAGCCTTAGGAAGGGTATGAATCTAGCTATTCTCCCCACCGCTATGGGTTAACTAGTAGGAATGGTATCAATAAATCATTATCTACAAATATTTTTAGGGTTTAAAAATATTTTCTGCAAAACGTTGATAACCTGTAAAAAAACAAACAAAAGACAAATCATATCAATCAATAATTCAATCAACCCATTTTCTCTAAAATTCTCGTTGTGAACTATGGTATTCCCAGTATCCTTCTGTAGACCCATACTTATGTTGCCTCAATTCTCCTCTTCATTGGTGCGGAAATTGTGCAGCATTCATTGCCATATAGCAGGTCCGATATTACATCGTATTTAAGCACATTTTTACTGACATTTCTCTGTATCTTAATACTTTGTTTAGCTTCTAGAAAGCATCTTTCGCTAGTCCAACGCGCCTTCGAACTACTGCGTCACGTTTTTCGTCGTTTATTAGGACATTATGCAGATAGTTAAACATCTGTACCTTCTTGACTCTGATGTCTCAAATCCTCAGCTCACAATTTGAGCTATTCCACTTGCTAACAAATATACAATCCGTCTTCTTTATAGTTTAGAGGTAGTCCTTTCTTCCCGCTTTCCTTTAATATATTGTCTAGGTCCACTTGCAATTTCCATTTTGATTTTGCCATAAACCGAATGTCATCCTTGCATCTCCTGTTGTTAAGACAACATCCATCAATAATAAATCCTGGTATTTAAACCCACGGGCTATTGTCTTTCTCTTTGTTGTTATTATCGCGTATTATGACTTAAAAAGGTTTCAAAAGGCCTGTTGCCATATCCAACAATCCTGGCTCTGTGAATGAAGAAGTTTTTGAAATTATTTATAGAATTGTATCCAGGTCAAAATAAAGAAAGTTGTCGCAGAAATGTAGCCATGTTCACGTGTCCATGAACATCTCAAACGAATTGAGAAATCTCACACAAGGAATTTGTATCCTCGTGAGAAGCAAACGCAACATTCCACCATCTGCAGCAGAATTTTAACAAGGAATATCAATTACCAACAATACGCATATACTAACAAATTTTAGCGACTTCCTCCAAATCTGTTTAAAATGCTTACAACCAACGAACCTGAAAGAACTTTCATGACATTAATCCATATAACATCCTGCAATTTTTAAAGAAATGAAACTCTGTTCCAAAATATAACTTTAACAAAGATTCAATATAAAACAAACATCCCAACCTCTAGTAATCATGTTCACACAAATATGTACAAAAGCTGAGTATCATCTACCATGTATTCACTTGTGAAAGCAGAATAACATATATCATATTTTTATTACTTCCAAACTCCTATGAAAATTAAATTTCTGTCTTAAACGACAGTTGATGTGCCGTTAAACAGACAAATCAAATCAATCTTTTTTTTACTGACATTTCTCTATATCTTAATACTTTGTTTAGCTTCTAGAAAGCATCTTTCGCTAGTCCAACGCTGAGTCACGTTTTTCGTCGTTTATTAGGACATTATGCAGATAGTTAAACATCTCTACCTTCTTGACTCTGATGTCTCAAATCCTCAGCTCACACGTTGAGCTGTCACACTTGCTGACAAATATACAATCTGTCTTCTTACGGTTTATAGGTAATCCTTTATTTTAAAAACAAAAACAAAAAAAACAAAAAACAAACAAACCATATCAGTCAATCCCATTTTCTCTAAAACTTCATCCCATTTTTTAACCCATTTTCTCTAAAACTTCATCGTTGCTCACATGTTCGGTCTATGGTATTCTCTGCACACTTCTGTAGGATCATATTTCTGTTGCTTCAAGTCTCCTCTTGATCTATAGGGAAATTGTCCAGCATTCATTACCATGTAGGAGGCCCCGATATTACATCGCATTTTAGCACTCTTCTTGTTTTGCAATAAATATCGGTTCGAAGTGTGAAATCAGGCAAGCTCAAATTCCAGTCGGGTTCGTTGCATTAACTTACGCACAAATACCCCCAGCTATGTTACCAATCCTCCTGTCTCGCAATACTCTGCACAGCTTTTTGAATGCGTCCTTGGTCATCCCAATACGTCTACGGATCTCAGTGACGCACTTACCGTCCTCTATCAAAACGCTTCCCAGATATTTAAAATTCCGGGTTTGCTTGATTCTAGCGTTCCCGACCTGCAATCTTTGAGGACAGATTGGGCCCTATAGTCTTTGTTGGCAACCGGCCTACCGCAGAAAGTAACGACAACCTATGGCGGGAAAAATCAGCCTAATCAGTCATATATCGAAAGATGCGTGCATCAAGTGTGACTGACTGACTTCTTGTTTTAATAATATTTTTCTATATCTTATTATTAGGTTGGTGTAAAAATAATGACGTAATAATGTCGCTTTTTGACGTATTTTTTAACGTCAAAAAACGACATTATTAGGTCATTATTTTTGCACCAACCTAATACTTTGCTTACCTTCAGGAAGGCATCTTTTGCTATTCGAATGCGCCTTCGAATTCTAGGCTTTTTTTTTTCTTATAGCCTTGATTCAATTTGTCTTTCATTTATTAGCGGCTTAAATAGCATGTCTGGCCTATTAAGGAGACCCTTATAAATTAATATGTGGTTGTTCTTTTAGAAACCTGAGATCAGACTGTATGAGTGAAATAAATTCATTGCGAAGACGCATTCTTTTTCCTTTTTATGCGCCATGTCCTTTCAAGACGTAGGCGATCATGGCTCTCCACCTCCCTCTATCCCTCGCAGATCTCAACAAGTTCCTTCCCTCTGCTTCCTCCCGCAGAGCACGTTCTGTCATCCACTTGCATAAGTCCTCCGCGTTGCTTTCCCTTGTCTTTCTTTCCCTCTATTCGACCCGTGAGTATCAGATTCTCCAGGCCTTCCTTCCTCATCATTGTTCTTTAGACCGGTAGGCCACAGAGAGCACTACATCCCGGCAAAATTCCTTTATCCTTCTAAAGAACGTGCCTTCTTTCTTTCAGATCATCTCAAAAGCCCCAAAATGGTCATTTTCTATGCAAAATTCCCAAATTGTTTTTTTTTTTTTTACCGCGCTTAACTGATACCACTGGACATTAAAACCGCGGATAAGGGGTTACCGCTTTATATTCTCACATATCAGGGAAGTGGATTCTTTTTATGTGCCATGTCCTTTCAGGGCGTAGGCGATCATGGCTCTCCACCTCCCTCTATCCCTCGCAGATCTCAACAAGTTCCTTACTTCTGCTTCCTTCCCCAGACCACGTTCTAACATCCACTTGCTTAAATCCGCCAGGTATACCACACGGTGTTTTCCCTTGTCTCTCTTTCCCTCTATTTTTCCTGTGAGTATCAGATTATCCAGGCCCCCTTTCCTCATTTTGTATCCCAGAAACTTTAACCGCCTCTTCCTGATGTTAAGTATAAGCCTCCTCCTTGTTTCCATCCTCTCTAAGACCTCATCGTTGCTCACAAGATTGGTCCATGATATCCTTAGCATCCTTCTGTAGAACCACGTTTCCATCGCCTCGAGTCTCTTCTTCATCTTTGAGGAAATCGTTCAACATTCGCTGCCGTAAAGAAGGACAGATGTCGCGTAACAGCTCAGTATTCTTTTCTTTGTTACCAATTCTCCTGTCTCGCAATGCTCTGCCCAGCTTTTGGAATGCGTCCTTGGCCATCCCAATACATCTACGGATCCCAGTGTCGCACTTACCGTCCTCTGTCAAAACGCTTCCCAGATATTTAAACTTCTGGGTTTGCTTGATTCTAGCGTTCCCGACCTGCAAATCGCATTTCGGTCTGATCCTTTTACTGATGACCACGCATTCTGTCTTCTTGTAATTTCTACTTAGTTCCTTCTTCTCACCCTCCGTACTGTCTCCTATTGTGCGTAATTTCTAAACTCAACCTTATTGTAGGTAGGTAGGTAGGTAGGTAGCTAGTATATATAGGAAAAAAAATCATTGTTCTAAAGTCTTTGGAAATAGAAGCAATTCAACTGTTCTACACACGATGGTTTAATACCAGATTTCAATGGGTACTCTAAACTCATTTAGGAAGCAGTC